ATGCAATTCATGAACTCCTCCACTTTTAAGAACATGCCTATCTCTACTCGTTATAATGACTTTGCTGCCTGATTCTGAGCAAAGATTTTCTCCCACTACAAAAAAAACATCAATTTAGTGAAGGAATTTCTGTCACTAATCAAAATTAGCGACGGATTAGTGACGGAATTCAGTTAGCGACGGAATTAGTGACGAAATTTTTTGGGTCACTAATTCCACTATCACTAAATAATTAGTGACGGAATTCAAAATTAGCAACGGATTACTAACAGATCAGCGACGGAAATTAGTGATGGAAATTTTTCGTCACTAATCCGTCGCTAATTAGTAATGGATATCCCACAAAAATTTCGTCACAAAATAATGATGGATTTGTGACGGAACATTCCGTCACAAATTGGTGACGGAAATTTCTGTCACTAATCCGTCGCTAAATTTTTTTATTTTGTAAATTTAAAATACCACATCATCGCCACGTGTCCATCACTATGAGCTGCCACGTCATCAATGGCTGCCACCTCACCAACTCCTCTCTCTCATGTTGCCACATCATCTCTTCGTCCACGTCATCGCCACGTGTCCATTACTGGATGCCACCACAACTCCTCCTCTCTCCTATGCAGCCACGTCATCGCCTTGTCCACGTCATCGCCACGTATCCATCATTATGAGCTGTCACGTCATCACCACCTCAACTCCTCCTCTCTCCTATGCAGCCACGTCATCGCCACATGTCCATCATTATCAGCCGCCATATACATAGATTTGGATGACAAGAGACGTTAAGGCATATCAATAGGATTAGATATATTATAGGAAGAGTATTCATTCTATTCAAAATACCACCTCTTGTCCTTAACATAAGACATCGTTTGACTTTTATTTTAGTTTTAAATATAAGACTCTAATATATTTTGTCTCTCATAATTATTCTTTTTTTTTCAAGATAGTCCTTCTAATAATAGTAGTTTTAGCCAATAAACTGGATTAGTAAAGATATTTTAGAAGAAAAAAACAACACATGTTTATTATAAATAACTAATTTAACTTATTTTCTTAATCTACTCAAATTAGTCAACTAATTCTTATATTTAGGACTGGAGGTAATAATGAATAAATATTATTTTATAGTATATGGCGGATCCTTTTTCCCCCTTAGAAAAAGATACATTTGGATAAAATAATGGTATAGGACAGGAAATCACCCTTCTCCAGCTTTAATCCCACTTGTTGAATTTTCTCGTGTTATTCTGATATTGAACCACGCGAGAATCAAAGCGATCTCTGATGGAGAATTCACATGCAAACTTACAAGTCGCGCCCTCGCCAAATCGCCTTCTTTGGGTTTCCTTTAATATGCCATCTATTGGATTATTCCATTTTTTATTAACTTGGTCGTTATGAAATTTATACATGAAATTGCATTCCTTTGCTGAGACTAGTACTACATTGAGTTATTTAAGCTACCTCAATATTTTCTCCATCCTTAAGTCAATTTAATGTCATTTGCTGCAAGAAGAATTTATTCTTCCACTGTCATATCAAGGCTTAATATCATTATTAGTGACTGAAATTTAATTTTATTTTGGTTTTGGCCTCTGAAATTTGAAACCAGTCATTTTGATTCTTGAAATTTAACATTATTTTATTTTTTTTGAGCTGATTACTATTTTAGTTCTCTCTAAAATTTGAAATCACTAGCAGTTTTGATCTCCAGAATTTGACCTCATTTTAATTTTGATCCTTGAAAAATACTGTTTCATGGATTGAAATTCTTTAAGTGAACCAAAATGACATCAAATTTCAGGAACCAAATTCTCTGGTCTCAAATTTTAGATACCCAAACCAAAATGAAATCAAATTTAGGAGCAAAACTACTTGTTTTAAATTTTAGGGACCAAAATTACAATGAATTCAAATTTTAAATATTAAAAATTGGGCTAAAATATAAAACTCCCCTAAGTTTCGAGTCAAATTAATAAGGACGTGACATCCTACATAACATCCAACTTCTTGCCATCTGTATGAGTTAATAATTTTATGACAATTATATATTATTTCAAAGAAGGGTTAAATTGTCATTTTGTCATTAAAAAGGGTAAAACAAACCCTCATTTCTTTGCAGCTCCTCGCCGCAGGTCGCCGTCAAGCACAACGCCACCATCCCAGCGAAGAAAATACAGCCTTTATCCATAAAATTAGAGAAGTGAAGGGGGAAAAAATAGACAAATTATTGCATAACAGTCCCATCCGAATCGCTTGTTCTCTAAGCCAGACAACTAGAAATTAAAATCATAAAATCACACAGCTATAAATCGATGGGTGATTCACTGAAATCCAGATGGAATAAAGCACAAAGACTAGACAATTGCAAACAGATAATTCAATGGGGACATGAACATTGATACGATGCAGAAACCGGTACAAGCGACTAAAGAAAACGCAAACACTTTGAAAGTCAAAGTGTTAATCTGCTGAACGAGAGGGGTTCTTTTTAAGAATTGAAAGTTGAGTTAGGCCACAGAAATGGCATTTTAACCCTTCTATAAAAATATATATATATAATTATCATAAAATTATTAACCCTTGCAGATGCTATTTTTGATTTTATGTAGGATGCCACCTCATCCTCATTAATCCAACTTTACAGTTTCCATCTGAGAATTATTAACGATAGGGGGCTTAAGGTAAAAAATTATAACATCAAGGAGGCTAAATTTAAACTTTAAAAGATTAGGGAGGTACTCAAAATTCAGTGGTTTTTTAATATATATTTTAGCCTAAAAATTGTATTAACCGAAGTTGTACAATTTTCTTCATTTTATGTATAACTTATCCTTATATAAACATAGACACACACGTTAATTCTAATTCTTAATATAAGGGCTAGTTTAACTTTTAATTTGATCTTAAATATAAGATCACAATCTATTTTTTTGCTATCAAGTAATTCTTATAGTAGTTGTATATGTTAAGTACTTACTATTAATTTGTAATTCAAACACACATTGTTAATAAGAATATTTTAGAAAAGACAACATCTATTTATTAAAAATAATAAACTTAACTAACTTTCTTAATTTTTCTAAATTAATCAATCAGGTCTTATATTAATAATTAGATACAGTAATACATTTGCCGTAGGGATTTTGGGGGGGGGGGGGATTCTTTTATATGTGTTGACAAGAAACAGGACCTACCTTGCATAAAGATGACTAAGGAAGAAGAAGAGCGCTCATTTCCGGGGAATAATTAAGGAAGTGCCTTTAATTTTTCAAAAGCTGATAATATTAATTTCCTCCTCTCTTTCTCACCCCGCATGATCTGCTCCGCCTTGGCTGGACTTGGTCGAATCCTTGGGAGTTTTGGTTCTGTGGATATTGGGCCATAAGAGGTTGGGCTCATAGCAGTTTTCCATAATCGTTATGTTCTAGTGTCTGTTTCCGGCAATTTCTTAGCAGGATTTATTATAGTTTTGGCCAATAATAGGCTTCCTATGATATAATTACACCCAACAATTTTAAATGAAATCACTTTACTCACTTACGACCAATACTGAATCGTTTATTAATTATATCTCACATTCACAATGACAAATGAAAAATAAATTTGGTTTACGATTGAAATGATGATAATTTTAATTTTCAATGTTACTTTGTCAAAATTTGATGTGCTCTTTTCAAGGATTTTTTCCCCATAATGTGTCCATGAATTCTTCAAAAATTATCGTCCAATTAGTTTAATTTCTCAATTTTTTCGTGATAAATTCCAGCAAAGTACTTAATTTAGTTTCACTTGTAGTGACAAGGGGTAAGAAAACAACAAGAATAATGCGGTTTTTTTTTTTTAATGCAGTGTCATGTTTTCATTTTGGCTTTCTCATAGACTCAAAAGGACTTGAGGAATTGACAACTAATAAATATCCAAGAAATTTATTTTAAAATAATGTTCACTTAAACGAAGCCCATAAACAAAGAAATAGGAGAAATTAACGATCAGTAAACATATGAAAACAATTTTTGGAAGTATAATGGCGATACAGTACTAGCTTCATTGGCTTTCCTTGATCTCTATGTATAAATACATCACCTTTTTATCTCTAGTGTTGATAGGAAAAACAGAGACTTTATTCAATCATCATATAACACGAAAATCATTACGCTGCTCTGAGATACAACAAACAGATTTGATGATTTTCTCACCTGTTAGTGGTGAGAAAGATAAAATGAAGACTACTTCTGAACAAATATAATATCCGATTTGACAAAATAATTTTGAGTAGAAAAAATCAGTTCACTTTCTGAAGTCAAACAAACAAAAGCATGAAAGCCAAAGACAAACGCGATCACCAAGTTTGGCATATTATCCAAACGGCTCACAATCTTAAATCATTCTTGTCCTTCCCACGCTGTAATAGTTTCCGCCAGTGATATTGCAGATGAAGCAGAACCAAATCACCGGGAAAAAGACAAGAAACAACACCTTAATTAACATCTCAAATGATTCAGAGCTTTTCACTTGATGACCAACTGGTAAAACGAGGGTGATGATGGTTACATTCACGTCAACTGCCTCGATCCTCCTAGACCTGTTGGTGATGAAAAACAGGGTTCACATGCTCTGTTCATAGTTGGATTGGCCTACAAAACCACATAGCATCACATTCGTGGTAAGAAACCAGAATTTGGAGAGCAGGGGACTAAGGCATACTAAAGGAATTAAAAATCAATTAATCCATTATCTCTACAATTTTTGGTTGCACGTGCCTGTGGATAAAAATTATAGATAGTTGCATATATATGTAGCAGCTTAGTTCAGAGAGTTTTCTAATATGTATTTATTATTTTAATGGATGCTGGGCATGAGACCCAAAGGCCGGTCACATTGAGAATAAAGAATTCTTTTCATACATAGTTGGAGGCCATAAAGAATTAAAAACTTTGTTGGACCTGGAATTGCATCCTCAAGCGATTCTTTTGATATCCTTTAGGGCCGTGCGCTCATTTCGGCATCTCTTGGCTCTCAGAGTAAGGCAGAGTGGTCAAGTTCCCTATCCTCTGGCGCACACAAGTGCTTCTCCTAACAGAATCACGTGCTGGCTGATGTTGGGACACTTCAGCATTAGGGTGCTGGCTGGCACTGTCTGTAACAGCATCCATCTCCAGCCTTAATTCCATTTTCCCCTGCAATTCTGATGCATGTATTGGCCAAATTCCGCACCCTTTTATCCTGTTATTATATTTTGCCACATGAGGACCGACGAAACTTCTGTGGAAGAATTCACATGCAAACTCGCAATTGGCGCCCTCATCAAATCGCCTTCTTTGGTTTTCCTTCAACATGCGATCCACTGGATCATACCATAGCAAAACATGATTTGTACTCCGAAACTCGTGGCGAGAGAGTTTGTCGTCAACCTTGTAATAGATCTCTTCATCTTCATAGTGGAATTTTCTACCAACTAGTGGCAAAGATTTGAGCCTCGATGGGGAAATAATACAACAAGAAGCGAAACCCAACAAATGGTGAGAAGAACCTGGTGCAAGCTTAATACTAATGGAGCCCTTAGTGGTCTGAGAAAATTTGAAGCCCCCTGGGATTGTGCTTCCGGGATAACAAAATCTAAGCTCACTAGAGTTATGTATTGCTCGCATCAATGAGAAACCGAAGGTCTCCAATGATTGGCATTCGTTGAGATAACAATAAGCAAGGGAAGGTGGAAGTTCTGGTAAGGACCTAAGCATCTTGCATTTACCCAAATCAATTTCTCTGAGCTCTGAAAGATGCTTGATGCTATCTGGCAAACCCATAACGCTACTTCCTTGTAGTGATAGAATCTTCAACAATGACATGGCACTGATATTGTCAGGGATCTGACGAATCCTGCAGTACGTCAAATATAGTTCTTCTAAAGAAGGCAAGGCATCAAATAGAATGACTAATTTTGATTTGTCTAGTTTGCCTTTAAAACCATCAAGAGAGAATACTTTAAGAGATGTCAAGCTACCTAGCTCATTTACTTGAAAGCTCCTGAGAAGTCTATTGAGACATAGCTCTTCAAGATTATTGAACCGTCCAAATGGAAAGCTTAATAACCGGTCAACTGGCAAGATTGGCTTTTTGATACCTTTACTTTTCACATGTAAACTTCTCATTTCTTCTGCTGACAACAAAAATTCCTTGAGAGCAGGGCACAACATCAACTTGAGCTCCTTGAGAGATTTCAAATGGTTATCACCGTGAGGATTCTTTAGTTCGATGCACCCCGCTAGATTCAAAGAAACAAGTTTAGGAAGAGACAAGATTGATGGATGAATACGACATAATCCTTTACAATAACTGAGATCCATTATTTCAAGATCTTGTGCCATGGAGAAATCAGGCAATTCCTCTAACTCGTAGGAAGAGGAAAGATTTATCATCTTCAAATTCATAAGATTCTGTTACAATTAAAAGGGAAGAGTTACTGAAAAATTCCTCATAATTCAATTAATTTGACTGAAGAATGAAACATTCATTAATATATAGCCATACCTGCACACCATCCCATAGTTTTACAACTTTGCTCCAAGGCATTTGAATTTCAACAAGTTTGTCTGTACAAAAACCCAGTGGTAGAGTCTTCAAAGGATAACGCTCCCAACAAAAATATCTTAATTTATTAGGGAGTGACTCCAGACCAAAAAGAAGTTGCACTGATTTACCTAAACCAAAACCAATCTTGAGAAATCTTAAATTACTCATTTTTTTGAAAGCGTCAGCACTCAAGTGTATGTTGCTTTCTAACTCATCTGGGTTCAATGCAATGCCTTCAATTGTATCAGTTCCCTAGAACATAACAAAATTCAAATAATATATTAAACAAGTGGCATGTAAAAACTCTTCAACGAAATAATTTAATGAACAAAAAATGAAGTTAAAGCATCCTTCATTTACCTTGTTATTTTCCGATACATCTTGGATTTCTTTTGCATCATTTAATCGACTTCGACTTTCAGGATGCTCTCGAGATTCCTCACGAACTATTTCTTCGGCCATTTCTTGTAGCATATCATGAATTTCTACTCTACTGTGACTTGAAATAGTTATGAGTGCTTTATCTAGAAGCCTATCTATTCCAATGTCCACGTAGAGGTCATCATCACAAGCATCGAGCACCTGCATAATATCTTCTTTCTTTTCTCCACTGAAGAAGAATGCAATATTTAAAAATATTTTCTTTTCTGGTGTATCAAGTCCATCATAGCTCACCCTCAATACATTTTGAATTTCCTTATTTGGATACTTTCTCAATTTTTTAAGGGCACTCTCCCATGCTTTTGTATTTCTGGAGTTCAAATATGAACCCAAAACTTTTGATGCCAGAGGAAGACCTTTTGCATATTCAATTACCTGCATTGATAACTTTTCATATCCTTGTTTGGGATGGCCTTGCTTGAAAGCATGTCGGCAGAAAAGTTGAAGCGATTCTTCCTTATTTAATTCTTTCACCTCATGTACTTCATGAGCTCCTCCACTAATAAGAACATGCTTATCTCTACTTGTAATGATGACTTTGCTACCTGGTCCCAATGAAAGATTTTCCTCAATAAGATATTTTAATTGAACAAGCGTGTCTACATCATCAAGAACTAGAAGAACTCTTGTTCTACGTAGCCTCCTTTGAACATTAGGCATTCCAACCATTGTGAGCTTTTCTTCATCTAGTAGAACAGAGAGAATTTTTTCAAGCAAACAATTCGTTCCAATCGTTTTTGATTTCTCTCTCACATTTTCGGCAAAGCAAGACCTATCAAATTGGTGGTAAAAGTTATCAAATGCGGCACGAGCTAAGCTGGTTTTGCCTATTCCTCCTTTGCCCCAAATTCCAAGAACTCTAACTTCGTGTGATTCATCTTTTATAAATAATTCAATAGCAGTCAAATCTTTCTCAATTCCAATTAGGTGCTTTGGCTCCATTGTGTCTTTACCTTCTAGCTTTTTTGATACATCTTCGATTATTGCATCAATAAGGTCAGATTCATTCCTGACATGTTAAAAGAAAGAAATTGTTTTTAAAATAATCACACGGTACATTGTTAAAAATCATACATGCATAGATTTAATTATCAATAATACAAGCATAGATATAATTATTTTTAAATGTCTACGGGAAAAATATATAATTCATAAACTGTGGCAAGATTTATATAATAATAAATAGAAAGAGGAAACATCTTACTGAAAATCTGAGGAATTATGATAACCAAATATGTCTGCAGTCTCTTTCAAAACCGATCTCCAATCTTGCAACTTCCTTGAATCAACTTTGCAGTTATGATGCTGAACAAATGCATCTTCATAAGACCCTCTTTGATGCCTAACATGTGATGGGTCTATATCATAGAAAACTGGAATTACAGTCTGACTATGGTCTCGCCTGCATTGCATGATTTTCACTAGCTCTTCTAAGCACCACCTTGAAGAGGCATAGTTTCTGAGAATATCACCAGCGCAATTCTTGATCTTTCTATTGCTTCCGAAAGCGCAGGTGATATTGTATCTCCTCTCTCTGCCGTCTCATCAACATAAACCTCTATCCCCTTTTGTCGAAACTGCTTTCTCAAATGGCTAACAAATCTACGTCGGGTGTCTGGACCTCTAAAACTTACAAAAACATCATATTTTTCCTGCCGAACGCTGGGAGAAGTCGTAAAAGTTGCCATTACTGGATATAGACAAAAACCATCTGGTGTTAATTATTCCTAACAAATTTGATGCTAATCTCTCCCCTCAAGCTCCCGTTTATAACATTCTGATAAGCATATAACTGCTCAAATATTATATATCGACTCCCAAGTGAATTCAACTTCTATCTAGCACGGCGATGCCAACGCGAGAAGAACAGGATAGGTCATTAACAATTATAGTTCAGACCAATAAACAGGAAATAAATGAAATAAAGGTACGTAATTAGGCGGACAAAAGTCCAAAGTTCTCCTCTGACAAACAATAGTTGAGCATCTCAGAAGTACCAATACCAATTATAATCTGAAATGGCTTGAAGGACTTGGTAGCTAAACCTAAAACAAGTGGATCAGATTTCAAGGAACAAGATCTAAAATCCAGTTGTGAGTGTCCCCGTTGTCATTGAGACTATTTTATCAAGATTAATTGGATAAGAGAGAAAATTCAGAATATATGATTAAGATTGACTATCTCACAGAAACTTTTATTTAAAATTTAATATAATGTAGATCCTACTTCGTCATGAAATTCAAAAAAGTGGAAATGAACGATGGTGAAACAGAGCAAGAACCAAGAACACAATCATAAGGAACTCATTAGGAACATTATGGCTCTTCCTGATACGTATGTACACATGCATGAATAGTTCGAATATATACATTTTACAGATGAGGAAGAAGATCATCATACCTGGATAGATCAAACCTTATTTCTGGCAAACTAGGAGCAAAAGTGATGTCTGAGTAGACAGCAATGCAGTTTCTAAGCGAAGAAGGTGGTTTCTGGGAAACTTCCTTATCAATACGAGGAGTCTTCGTTATTAAAATGCAAGTTCAATAATTTAAGGTGACAAATTGGCTTATGCGCGTTTTGATTTGTTGACTTGATTGCTTTATAGTCAAATGTCATCTTCTCTGGCTGGTAGTCCAGAGATTTTATGTTCGTGTCCTAAGTATGTAGGCCATATTAAAATGTCGCTACTCGGTACCTGTGATTTGATACAAATTAAAAATAACTAACCATTTTTTTTATTAATTTAAAAAAAATTCTTTTAGTTTATGTAAAATAATAAAAAGTACTCCATCCGTCCTGTATTATTACGACAAATTAACAGATTTTTTGCGCTGTTTTATAATCAAAATCACCATTCTCTGTACACAATTAAATCAATGTTCCTAAATTGCCCCCATTATTAAGATTAGATGGTATAACATTTGTGTTGCAAAAATCAAAATAACTTTTTGAGAAGATGGTCTGCTTTTTTTGACAATTTGAGTACATAAAAATGCTTCCCTGTTTCACAGTCACTATCAAAAAATAATTAAAATTAAATTCGTTCATTAATTTATGGTATTGGTGTTGGAGGAGTGTGTTGCTTTTGACGATTTGGGCACATGAAAGATGCTTTCACACCCATCGCGGTGTTAGTTTTGGGCAATGGTTTAGCAGGACTTTTTTTTTTCTTTATTGTTTTGGATATAATTATATTATATCCAACAATTTTAAATTAAATCATTTTTCCTGTTTCACACGCTTCCATGCAAAGTCCATACATACAGTTTTGATATTGAATGGTTTGTTAGTTCTATTTCGCATTCACATTGAGAAATGAAAAGTAAACTTGGTTTTTGATCGATTTGATGATAATTTTAAATTTTTACTGTTACTTTTGATCCCTGTGAAAGTTGGGATGCTCTTTGTAAGGATTCTTTCCATGCGTCCATCAATTGTTCAAAAATTATTGTAAATTAATTTAACTTCTCAATTACTTCGTTTCAAATTCCAGCAAAAATGCTTTTTGTTGCATATGAAAACAATTTTTCGGAAGTTCCATCCTTGATCTCTATAAATACATCACTTTTATCTCTAGTTTTTGAATTTGAAATGGGACAAAACCAATGTTATTACTTGAGAAAATCAGATTTAATGACTTTTTAAAGTCTGCAATCAAAAGCATGAAAGCCAATTAAAGACAAACATAACCAGCAAGTTTGGCATATATTATCCAAGTGGCTGACAATTACATATCATTCTTGTTATTCCCACACTGTAATAGTTTCCTACCTGCGATATTGCAGATAAAGCAGAACCAAAACCTAAGCAAGAAAAATGAAGGTAATGACGGTTACATCGTTTTATATCCCCTGTAAGAATAATGACTTATTTATTTTAATTGTTTGGTGACTATACAAAATATTTTATTATTTAGTTTTAACTTCTTGGGTAATCTTTTAAAATGACGTATTAAAGTGCCTTTGCTATTTCTGCTTCTTGTCTTCTTTTTTCCCCTTTGTTTCTCATGAACTTGAGGTTGACCTGTTTTTCTTTCATTGCTTAGTTAGTAAGGCGATGTTAAAGTGTGACCATCGTCCATGAAGTTTGTGTTCCTTGTTGGAGCTGGGGTATATGTGTTGGTGTGTCAAAATAAACATAAGTCACACATTCCTCAAGAGAGTGGAAGTACAAAGGTATAAATACTTCTTAACTTGTGTTCTTGGGCTAGTGAATTGGTTTAGAGTGAAAGAGGATCTCATAGGCACAGTGATGGGCCATCGAGATCCAAATATAATGGAAATCCGATTATCTGCCCCTTATAACATAAGCAACAAATTGAAGTCCCAATTCACAAATTTACGGTAGCTAATTTTAGGACAATAGTAACAATGTTCTTCCAGAATGATCTACGAAACACTTCAATAAACAACTTTCTCAAGTTGGTTCCCATGTCCAGTTTCCTAATCTTCATCACATATTCAGATATATGAGCATATATGTATACAAAAAAAGAGTAACTTTCATGAAAAACTCTAAGAAGCATTTATTTACAAATAATTATAGGATGGAGAAACTAGGACTAAAAACATGGGGAGGTAAAGCCAAGGCAATGGGCACATTTATTTGTGCTGGAGGAGCATTAACCACTAGCCTTGTCTGATAAAGGAATTTTACATGGGTCACCATAGTCATCATTCTTCTCATACTGCTTTAGAAGAACCACTCAAGACTCACATGATTTCAGGCACGTTCTTTTTAATTGCTAGTTGCTTCTCATATACAGGATGGTTTATTATCCAAGATTTTTGAACTTATACGAACTAAGATTTCCAAGCTTAATTAGATAATGAACCATCTTGTATATGAGAAGTAGCTAGCAATTAGAAAGAGCGTGTCTCAAAGCATGTGAATCTTGGATGGTTCTACTAAAGCAATGCGAGAGGAATGATGACTATGGTGACCAATATAAAATTTTCTAGTGTAAAGGCTAATAATTAATGATCCTCCAGCACAAATAATTATGCCTCTTGCCTTGGCTTTACCCGCTAATGAATTCAGTCCTAGTTTTTTTATCCTACCATCATTTGTAAATAATTGCTTATTATGTAGTAATCATGATATAGCAGAGGTTTTCATGAAAGTTGCTCTCTGTGTGTATACATGTATACTCAGATACCTAAATTATACTACCTCCGGTCCTAATTATAAGAGTTAGTTGACTAAGTTGAAGAGATTAAATAAATAAGTTGAGTTAGTTATTTGTCCTGAATAGGTATTGTCTTTTCTAAAATATCATTGCTAATCAAGTGTATTGCTTAGAACTATCATTGTTAGAAAGGCTACTTTGAAAAAAAAAGTATAAATATGATAAACAAAGTAGATTGGGGTCTTATATTTAAGATCAAAATAAAAGTCAAACTGAGTCTTATATTAAAGACCGGAGGTAGTATGTGGCATGATGTGAGTAGCCGTGAAGGACAAGGACTAGAATAGTTGAGTATTATCTTCATCTCGGACATTGATGGCAAGTGCTTTTGCTGAAGTTTGAGTTTAGGGTGACACATCAAAGCCTCCATATCTTGACGTGCTTTGTGTTCATAATTGGATTGGCCTACCTAATTAGCCAATATCATGTAATATGTAAGTTAAACAGGTGAAATAGATGGCACCTATATATATTTCTTTACGTTCTAAATTTTATTCTGTATAAGGTTTGCCTATAATTCCAAAATGTGCAAGAATACAACTCAGATTTATTTGAATTCTTTAACACTGCTAAGGAGCAGAGGAAAATTCACATGAAACATATAGAAATTGACTAGCTATGAAGAAACCAAAATACTTACTGTTATAAAGTAATTATACATTTATATCCAAAATGATACTATCGACTCAAGTTCTCTGAAAAGGAATCTGCATATAACAACAAATTAAAAGACAATCAGAGCCGATTTTAAAAAAGGAAAAGGAGAGAGTAAAATCACATATATCAAAATGTGGCCATTCTATTCCTTTAAAGGATAGTAATGAAGGCTTGTGGAAGATGATAGATGCTAGTTGCATCACATTCAATTCAAAACATCACAAACTTTAACTACATCACGGAGCTCAATGGATACAATACATGTATAGACAATATTTACTACCAGACGAACCATAGCACTCAACTTCTTTGTCAGAAAACAGAATTTGCAGAGCAGGGGACTACGGTATATTAATGGAAATAAAAATCAATTAGTCCATTATCTCTTCAATTTTTGATTGCACATGCCCCATGGATGGTAAATAGAGATAGTTGCATATATGCTAGAAAGAGTTGGAGATTCTCCTAATTTTGGCTACGAAGGCTGATTAAATTGAGATTCTACAACAAGGGAAATATCAGATTTGGATTAAAAAAAAAAAGGAGGTTAAAGCATATCTATAGGATTTGTACACACACTATAGGAGAGGTTTCACCGTAATCAAAATAAGACATGCGGATGAAATGATGGTATAGCGCAGGAAATTACCCACACAAAAAATTCTCAAGCGTTTCTTTTGTTATCATTTCGGCCTCTCTGGGTTCTCAAAGAGTCGGCATCGCGCTCAAGTTCTCTGTCCTCTGGCACACGAGTGCTTCTCCTAACGGAATCACGTGCTGATTGATGTGGGGATACTTCAGCATTAGGGTGCTGGCTGGTATTGCTCGTGACAGCATCCTTCTCCAGCCTTAGTTCCATTTTCTCTTGCAATTCTGATGCATATATTGGTCAAAGTCCACCCACTTTTATCAAGTGATCCAATCCATATATACCAGAAATAAAGCGATTTAAAACGGAGAAGTCACATGCAAACTTGTACGCGGCACCCTCACCCAATGTTCAGTATTATTATAAAGACTATTTTGGAAAAAAAAAAAGATGAATATGGGAGATAAAATTGATTGGAACCTTATATTTAGGACCAAAATGAAAGTCAAACAAACTCTTATATTATATTAAGGACCAAACCCCCAACCAAAAAAAATGCATTTGGATAAAATAATGGTATAGTGCAGGAAATCACCCTTCTGCAGCTTTAGTCCCATTTGCTGAATTTTCTCATGTAATTCTGATACCCAACCACACGAGAATCAAAGCGATCTCTGATGAAGAATTCACACGCCAACTTTCAAGTAGCGCCCTCGCCAAATCGCGTTCCTTGGGTTTCCTTTAATATGCGATCCGTTGAATTATTCCATCCTTTATTAACTTGATCGTGGTGAAATTTACACATGAAATTGCATTATTTTGCTGAGACTAATATTACATTGAGTTATTTAAGCTACCCGAATATTTTCGCCATCCTTAAGTCATATTAATGTCATTCCTGCAAGAAGAATTTATTCTTCCGTTATGTATATCAAGGCTTAATATCATTCTTAGTTACCGAAATTTAATTTAATTTTGGTTTTGATCTCTGAAATTTAAAACCAATGATTTTGGTTCTTGAAATTTAACATTATTTTAGTTTTTCTTGAGCTGATTATTGTTTTAGTTCTCTCTAAAATTTGAAGCCGGCAATTGTTCTAATCTTCAGAATTTGATCTCACTTTAATTTTTATCCTTAAAAAAAAACTGTTTCAAGGATTAAAAGTATTTAAGTGAACCAAAATGACATCAAATTTCAGGAAACAAATCCTCTGGTTTCAAATTTTAGATACCCAAACAAAAATTAGGTGAAATTTAGGACCAAAACTACTTATTTTAAATCTCAAGGATCAAAACTAAAATGAATTCAAATTTTAGATATTAAAAATTGGGCTAAAATATAAAAACTCTCCTGAGTTCCGGGTCAAATTAGTAAGGATGTGACATCCTACGTAACATCCAACTTCTTGCCATTTGCATGAGTTATAATTTTATGATAATTATATACATATATATTTTTAAAGAAGGTTTAAATTGTCATTTTGTCATTAAAAAAAAATCCCTAATTTCTTTGCAGCTCCGTGCCGCAGGCCGCCATCAACCACAACGCCACCATCCTGGCAAAGAAAATACAGCCTTTTCCACAAAATTAGAGTCCCATCTGGATCGCTTGTTCTCTAAACCAGAAAAATAGAAATTAAAATCATAAAACCAAAAACAGAATCACACAGCTATAAATGTTGCTGTGGTAAAATCGATGGGTGATTGACTGAAATCGGGATCGAAAAAAGCACAAAGACTAGACAATTGCAAATAGATGATTCCATGAGGACATGAACATTGATCCAATGCAGAACCCAGTACAGGCAACTAAAGAAAACACAAACACTTTGAAAATCAAAATGTTAATCTGCCCAACGAGAGGTTCTTTTTACGAATTGAAAGTTGAGTTAGCCCGCAGTAAGGAGATAAAAGAGATTAGGGTTTGTTATTCTTAAACACAAATGGCATTCTAACCCTTCTATGAAAAATATATATAATTATATAAAATTATTAACCCATACGGATGCTATTTTTGATTTTATGTAGGATGCCACATCATCCTCATTAATCCAACATTCCGGTTTCTATCTGAGAATTATTAAATATAGGCGGCTTAAGGTAAAAAATCATAACATCAAGAATAATATTTGTTCACCAGAAACAGGACCTACCTTACATAAATTAGGGAAGTGCCTTTGATTTTCAAAAGTTGATAATATTAATTTCCTATGCTCTTTCTCACCCCGTGTGCTCTGCTCCGCCTTGGCTGGACTTGGGTCGAATCCTAAGTAGTTCGTTCTGTTGATATTGGGCCATCAGAGGTTCGGCTGATAGCAGTTTTCCATAATCACTATGTTTTTATGAAGTATTTGGATACAAACCAAATTATGATTTAAGAAGTGATTTTACGATATACAAAGTAAATATATGGAGGAGTTTATCTCGATTTGTGAAAAAATATCTTTTAGAAGCACTTCTCATGCCATCCAAACACCCCTTTAGTCTCTGTTTCCCGCAATGGTTTAGTAGGATAATATAGTTTTGGCCAATAATCGGCTTCCTATGATATAATTATACTCGGCAATTTTAAATGAAATCACTTTCCCTGTTCCACACACTTGCTACCCACACAAAAAGTTTTAATACTGAATCGTTTATTAATTACATTTCACATTCACAATGACAAATGAAAAATAAACTTGGTTTATGATTGACTTGATGGAAATTTCAATTTCCAATGTTGCTTTGTCAAAATTTGATATTCCCTTTTCAAGGATTTCTTTCCCATAATGTGTCTATGAATCCTTCAAAAATTATCGTACAATTAATTTAATTTCTTAATTACTCCTCCGGTCCTAAATATAAAATCCTTTTTATAGTATAAATTACATTATAAAAAAGGTTTTATATTTAGGATCGGAGAAATATTTTGCTATAAATTGCAGCAAAGTACTCAGTTTACTTTCGATTGTAGTGACAAGGGGTAAGAAAACAAGAAGAATAATACAGTTTTTTTTATTGCATACTGTCATGTTTTCATTTTGGCTTTCTCAAAGACTCGAGAGTCAAAAATCAAAAGGACTTGAGAAATTGACAACTAATAAATATCCATAAAATTTATTTAAAAATAATGTTCACTTAAACGAAGCCAATAAACAAAGAAATAGGTGAAATTGACGATCAATAAACTCATGAAAACAATTTTTTGGAAGTATAATGGCGATACAGTACTAGCTTCATAGGCTTTCCTTGATATTTATATATAAATACATCATTTTTTTTTATCTCTAGTTTTCGGATATGAAATGGGACAAAACCCATGTTACCAGAAACAATCAGTGACACTGGTTGGTTCTGTTGAAAGGAAAAACAGAGACTTTATTCGATCATCAGACAACAAGGAATTCATTACGCTGCTCTGAGATACAGCAAACAGATTTGATGATTTTATCACCTGTTAGTGGTGAGAAAGACAAAATGAAGACTACTTCTGGACAAATATAATATCTGATTTGACAAAAAAATTTTGAGTAGAAAAAATCAGTTCACTTTCTGAAGTCAACAAACGAAAGCATAAAAGCCAAAGACAAACAGAACCACCAAGTTTGGCATATTATCCAAATGGCTCACAATCGCATATCATTCTTGTCATTCCCACACTGTAATAGTTTCCACCTGTGATACTGCAGACGAAGCAGAACCAAATTACCAGGAAAAAGACAAGAAACAACACCTCAATTAACAACTCAAATGGTTCAGAGCTCTTCACTTGTTGGCCAACTGGTAAAATGAAGCTGATGATTGTTACATTCATGTCGCACGCCTCGATCCTCCTGGACCTGTCGGTGATGAAAAACAGGCTTCACATGCTCTGTTCATAATTGGATTGGTCCACCGAACCAATATTATGTGATATGCAAAGTTAAACAGGTGAAATACTCTTCTAATTCTAAATATAAGACTCTTTTTGTAATGTTATTTAAGACCGGCGTAGTACATAATATATATGGCATCTATATTTCTTTTCATTCTAAGTTTTATTCTGCACAAGGGTTGTCTCTAATTCCAAGATGTGCACGAATGCAATTCAGACTTATATGATATCGTTAACATTAGTGAAGAGCAGAGCAAAAAATCACATGGACCTTGGAAATTGACCAGCTATGAAGAAGACCAAAATACTTACTGTTATACATTGTTAATATCTACATGTATACATAATATTTACTAACAGTCGACCCATAGCATCAACTTCTTGGTGAGAAACCAGAACTTGGAGAGCAGGGGACTAAGGCATACTAAGGGTATGTTTGGCTCAATGAGAAGAAGGAGAGGGGAGGGATTTTAATGGAGGGAAGGGAAGGGGAGTGGAAGGATTTTAATATCATCTTGTTTGGATTTATAAAAAAAGAGGGGAGGGGAGGGGAAAATATTTTAATATGGACAATTTTACTCTTATTTTATTTAAGGCGTGGGCATAATGGTCACAACATGACAAAATATAGGCATAATGGTCATAATATGACAAAATATTACCATTTTTCTCCAAATCCTCCCAATTTTGGAGGGGAGGGGAAATTTTAAAAAATTTTCCTTCCCCTCCTAAAATTTGTGTGTTGCCAAACAAGGGGAAATGATTAAAATCCCTCCCCTTCCCTCCCCTCCCCCCACCCAAATCCCTCATACCAAACACACCCTAAAAGAATTAAAAATCAATGAATCCATTATCTCTACAATTTTTGGTTGCACATGCCTGTGGATAGAAATTAGAGATGGTTGCATATACATGTAGTAGCTTAGTTTGGAGATTTTTCTAATGTTTATTTATTATTTTAATGGATGCTGGGCATGAGACCCAAAGGCCAATCACAATGAGAATAAATAATTCTTTTCATACATGGATGGAGGCCATAAAGAACTAAAAAAATTATTGGACCTGGAATTGCATCATCGAGTGATTCTTTTGTTATCCTTTGGGGCCGTGCGCTCATTTCGGCCTCTCCTCGTTCTCAAAGAGTACGGCATCATGGTCAAGTTCCCTGTCCTCTGGCGCACACGAGCGCTTCTCCTAACGAAATAACGTGCCGGCTGATGTTGGGACACTTCAACATTAGGGTGCTGGCTGGTACTGCCTATAACAGCATCTGTCTCTAGCCTGAATTCCACTTTTTCCTGTAATTCTGATGCATATATTGGCCAAATTCCACACCTTTTTATCCCGTCATTAAATTCATCCGCAGAACGATCGGAGCAAACTCCGTAGAAGAATTCACATGCAAACTTGTAAGTGCCGCCCTCATCAAATCGCCTTCTTTGGTTTTCCTTCAACATGCGATCCACTGGATCATACCATAAAAAAACATGATCTGTACTCGGATTCATAAGGAATATGATCTTGTCACTCTCGTAATAGATCTTTTCATCTTCAAAGTGGAATTTTCTGTCAACTCGTAGCAGCGTCGATGGGGAAACAATGCAACAAGAAGCGAAACCCAATAAATGGTCAGAAGAAGCTGGTGCAAGCTCAATACTAATAGAGCTCTTAGCGGTCTGGGAATATTTGAAGCCCTCTGGGATTGTGCTTCCGAGATAACAAACTCTAACCTCACTAGAGTTATGTATTGCTCGCATTAGTGGGAAACTGAAGGTCTTCAGTGATTGGCATTCGTGGAGATGACAATGAGTAAGGGAGGATGGAAGTTCTGGTAAGGACCTAAGGCTCTTGCAATTACCCAAATCAATTTCTCTGAGCTCTGAAAGATGCTTGATGCTATCTGGCAAACTCTTAACGCTGCTTCCTCGTAGTGATAGAATCTTCAACAATGACATGGCACTGATATTATCAGGGATCTCAGAAACCTCACAGTCTGTCAACCTCAATTCTTCTAACGAACACCACGCATCAAACAGAATGAATAATTTTGATTTGACTATTCTTCCTTCAAAACGATCAAGAGAGAATATTTTAAGAGATGTCAAGCTACTTAGCTCATTTACTTGAAAGTTCCTGAGAGCCCCACCGAGATATAGCTCTTCAAGTTTATTGTACCGTCCAAATGGCAAGTTCAAGGTTTCGATACCAGTACCAAATAAACTTAAACTTCTCATTTCTTCTGATGACAACAAAAATTCCTTGAGAGCAGAGCAATAATTTAGGTTGAGTTTCTTGAGAGATTTCAAATGGTTATTCCCATGAAGATTCTTTAGTGTGATGCACCCCTCTAGATCCAAAGAAACAAGTTTAGGAAGAGACAAGATTGATGGATGAATACTGCATAAATTTACACAAAATCTGAGGCTCATTATTTCAAGATTTTGTGCCGTGGAGAAATCAGGCAACTCCTTTAACTTTGAGCAGGCAAGATTTATTTTCTTCAAATTCATAAGATCCTGTGACAATTAAAAGAGAAAAGTTACCAGAAAAGCCCTCACAATTCAATTAGGCTAAAGAAATGAAATGTGCATTAATATATAGCCATACCTGCGCACCATCCCATAGTTTTACAAGTTTGCTAGAAGGCAGTTGGATTTCAACAAGATTCTTTGCACAAAAACCAAGCGGTAGAGTCTCCAATGGATAACTTTCCCAACAAAAATATCTTAGTTTATCAGGAAGTGACTCTAGACCAAAGGGACAAAGCACTTGATATTTGTCTCGAAAATAAGAATTAATCTTGAGAAATTTTAAATTACTCATTCTACTAAAGCCGTCAGCACTCAGGCGTATGTTGCTTTTTAACTCACATGTGTTCAATGCGATGCCTTCAATTATATTAGTTCCCTAGAAAATAACAAAATTCAAATAATATATTAAACAAGTGGCGTGTAAAAATTCTTTTACTGAAATAATTTAATGAATAAAAAAGAAAGTTAAAGCATCCTTCATTTTACCTTGTTATTTTCCAGTATATCTTGAACTTCTTTTGCATCATTTAATCGACTTCGACTTTCAGGGTGCTCTCTAGATTCTTCACGAACTATTTCTTCAGCCATTTCTTGTAGCATATCATGAATTTCTACTCCATTGTGACTTGAAATGGTTATGAGTGCTTTATCCAGAAGCGTATCTATTCCAATGTCCACGTAGAGGTCATCATCACAAGCGTCTAGCACCCTCATAATATCTTCTTTCTTTTCTCCCCCGAGGAAGAATGCAATATTTAAAAATATCTCCTTTTCTAGGGTATCAAGTCCATCATAGCTCACCCTTAATGCATCATGAATTTTCCTATTTGGATTCTTTCTCAATTTTTTAAGGGCACTCTCCCATGCTTCTGTATTTCTAGAGTTCAAATATGAACCCAAAACTTTTAATGCCAGAGGAAGACCTTTTGCATATTCAATTACCTGCATTGATAACTTTTCATATCCTTGTTCGGGATGGCCTTGCTTGAAAGCATGCCAGCAAAAAAGTTGAAGCGATTCTTCCTTGCCTAATTCTTTCACCTCATGTACTTCATGAGCTCCTCCACTAATAAGAACATGCCTGTCTCTACTTGTTATGATGACTTTGCTACTTGGTCCCAATGAAAGATTTTCATCAATAAGATATTGTAATTGACTGGAGGTGTCTACATCATCAAGAACTAGAAGAACTCTTGTTCTACGTAGCCTCCTTTGAATATTAGGCTTTCCAACCATTCGGGGCTTTTCTTCATCTAGTAGAACAGAGAGAATTTCTTCAAGCAAACAATCCATTCCAATCTTTTTGATTTCTCTCTCACATTTTCAGCAAAGTAAGACCTATCAAATTGGTGGTAAAAGTTATCAAATGTGGCATGAGCTAAGGTGGTTTTGCCTATTCCTCCTTTACCCCAAATTCCTAAAACTCTAACTTCATGTGATTCATCTTCCATAAATAATTCAATAGGAGTCAAATTTTTCTCAATTCCAATATGGTCCTTTGGCTCCACTGTGTCTTTACCTTTACCTTCTAGCTTTTTGCATACATCTTTGATTATTTCATCAATAAGGTCAGCTTCATCCCTGACATGTTAAAAGAAAGAAGTTGTTTTTTCAAAAAAAAAAAAAATCACACGGTACATTGTTAAAAATCATAAATGCATAGATTTAGTTATCAATAATATAAGCATAGATATAATTATTTTTAACTGTTCATGGGAAAAATTTACAATACATAAATTGTGACAAGATTTGTCTAATAATTAATAGAAAGAGGAAAACATCTTACCGAAAATTTGAGGAATTATGATAACCAAATATGTCTGCAGTTTCTTTTAAGACCGATCTCCAATCTTGCAACTTCCTTGAATCAACTCTGCAGTTACGATGCTGAACAAATGCACCTTCATACGATCCTTTTTGACGCCTAACATTTGATGGGTCTATATCATAGAAAACTGGAATTACAATCTGACTATGGTCTTGCCTGCATTGCATGATTTTCACTAGCTCTTCTAAGCACCACCTTGAAGAAGCATAGTTTTCAGAGAATATCACCAGCGCAATTCTTGATCTTTCTATTGCTTCTGAAAGTGCAGGTGATATTGTATCTCCTCTCTCTGCCGTCTCATCAACATAAACCTCTATGCCCTTTTGTCGAAACTGCTTTCTCAAATGGCCAACAAATCTACGTCTGGTGTCTGGACCTCTAAAACTGACAAAAACATCATATTTTTCCTGCCGAACGCTGGGAGAAGTCGTAAAAGTTGCCATTACTGGATAGAGACAAAAACCATAGGGTGTTAATTATTCCTAATAAATTTGATGCTAATCTCTCCCCTCAAGCTCCCGTTTATAACATTCTAATAAACATATAACTGCTCAAATATTACATGTCTACTCCCATGTGAATTTAATTTCTATCTAGCATGGCGATGTCAACGCGAGAAGAACAGGATAGCTCATTAACAATTATAATTCAGAACAATAAACAGGAAATAAATGAAATAAAGGGAAGTAACTAGGGGGAGAAAAGTTCAAAGTTTTCCTCTGAAAAACAATAGTTGAGCATCTCAGAAGTAACAAGACGAATTACAATCTGAAATGGGTTGAAGGACTTAGTAGCTAAACCTAAAACAAGTGGATCAGATTCCAAGGAACAAGATCTAAAATCCAGATATGAGCGTCCCGTTGTCATTGAGACTATTTTATCATTGGATAAGAGAGAAATTCAGAATATATGACTAAGATTGACTATCCCACAGAAACATTTTTTTTAAAATTTAATATGATGTAGATCCTACTTCATCATAAAATTCGAACAAGTGGAAATGGAAATGGACGATGGTGAAACAGAGCAAGAACCAAGAACACAATCATAAGGAACTCATTAGGAACATTATGGCTCTTCCTGATACGTATGTACATATGCATGAGTAGTTCGAATATATACATTTTACAGATCAGGAAGAAGACCATCATACCTGGATAGATCTAACCATATTTCTGGCAAACTAAGAGCAAAAGTGATGTCTGGGTAGACAGCAATGCAGTTTTTAAGCGAAGAAGGTGGTTTAGGAAACTTCCTTATCATACCTGGATGGATCAAACCTTCTGTGTTTTTAAGCGAAGAGGGCCACACCCACAAGCAATTCATTTCCCTGCGCCCCGAAGAACTCCATGCTCCACTCCCTTCAAGTAAGCAGTGCTATCTCACAGAAAATTTTATTTAAATATTAGCATATTGACGCCGCTTCATTATAACATTCAAACAAGCGGAAACGAAAGATGGTGAAACAGAGCAAGAACACAATCATATGTATGCAAGTATGGAACTCATCAGGAACATTATGGCTTTTCCCGACGTGATGAATAGTAATGAATGAGGAAGAAGATCATCACACCTGGATCGGTCAAACCTTATTTCTGGCAAATTAAGAGCAAAAGTAATGTCTGAGTAAACAGCAATGCCGTTTCTAAGCGAAGAATTGAAGAATGTTTCTGGGAAACTTCCTCATCAATTCGAGGAGTCTTCGTTATTAGAAAGCAACTTTTATAATTCAAAATGGCCAGCTCGCGCGCTCGTTTCCTCCATCCGTCATGCTCCAAAAAGAAAATCAAAGTCAAATAAATAGTTGATTTGTTGACTTGATTGTTTTATTGTCAAATGTTATACTGAATTTCAATAAGTTAAAATGGCTAGTTTTATGTATTAAGGAAAAAGATAGAAAAATGACACTTGAATTTTATAATACCCAAATAGTTTGCTCAATTTAGAGATCAAATTAAAATTATCATGTTAAAAAAAAAAGACCAAGTTGCCTTTCATTCTATTTATTGTTTTTAAAATATCAAAACCCCCACTGATCCCCTGGTCAATCATCGGAGCTTCAGCGGCAGCAGTCACCAGAGCTCCCGCGACAGTCATCGGAGTTCCGGCGGTTGGAAACAATTTTTTTTAAGAATTTTTATAGCTTCAATATAATGGTTAACAACTTTTGTAACGTTATTAACAACTTCAATATAACAGTTAACAATAGATTTTCTAGCAAATTCAACAAGATCCAGTGGCCGGAAACAATTTTTAAAAAAAAATTTACAACTTCAATATAACCGTTAACAACTTTTGTAACGCTATTAACAACTTCAGTATATCAGTTAACAACAGATTTTTCAAAAAATTCAACAATTGATTGTCAGAGCTCCGGCAGCGGAAAACAATATTTTAGAAAATTTTTACAACTTCAGTATAACGGTTAACAACTTTTGTAACTCTATTAACAACTTCAGTATAGCGATTAACAATAAGTTTTTGAGTTTGTTAACGGCGTTACTGAAGTTGTAAAATGCTACTTTTTGAATTTTTCAAAAAACCTATTGTTAACTACTATATCGAAATTATCAATAGAGTTACAAACGTTGTTAACAATTATATTAAAGTTGTAAAAATTTTAAAAACAAAAAAGTTGTTCAAGTTATAAAAATGCCATTTTTTTGAATTTTTAAGAAAGCCTGTTGTTAAGTGTTATATCGAAATTATTAATAAAGTTAGGGAACTTGTTAACGACATTACTGAAATTATAAAAATGCTACCTTTTAATTTTTTAGAAAACTTGTTGTTAACTACTTGATAAATCCTGATTTTAATATATTGTTTGATATCTTTTTAGAGATATTTATCAATTAAAGTGGGATAAATTGCATTGATTGTAGATATTTTGAATCAAATACTGATTGCATGAAATTAGAGATTTAATAGGAGATCTTATCATATTTTTATCTCTTTTTAAATAATAATTGATTTTGAAATTGGTGATAGTATCTCAATTTATCTTTTACAGGCCTTAAAAAAAAGGAATTAAAGATAATGAGAAAACTGAAAGGAAGGAAATAAAAAAATACAAGAAAGGAAAATTGGAGACACAGCTTGGATGCAGATTATGATATTATCTGTATTTTTATAGATTCAAAAAGAGGATACAGAAATTATCCACACGCATATCCTTCACATTTGATTTGGATATATATTATATCTCCTCCTTTACGCAGGTATCACGGCCGCCCCCCATTCCATTCCTATATATAGCACCGTACACACACTCGTATTGACACACCTCACACCACCGACTCGTAGTCATCAAAGCCTTCAGATCCTCTCACGCATACACACCTCCGCCGCCACACAATTCAATTTCTTTCTCCACTAGTTTTCGTCCTTTTCCCTTTCGGCCATATTCACACCCTATTCATATCCATATACACACGCCGCATACCCCCACGCCGCGAGAACTCAATATCTTTCTCACCCCCAGTTTTCGTCTTTTCTTCCTTCAACCAATCACCATCATCACCGTAGACTCCTATTGCTTGTATTCTTCTACAAATAATCTTCACACCCACTTTCTCACCAAAACCTCTATAGATTCTCATTGTTTCAAATATATTATGGATTCTTCTAGAACTATGAGAGGCTAATTTTCTCGTGCTTCTTGAAGATGGAGGAGTAGCTTGAGCTTAGAGCTTCAACTAAAGGAGTATTTAGTTTTCTAATTAATTTTCTCTTGGACTTCATTAGATTTTTTCTGTGTTAGAGATATTTTATTTGATTTGGAAACTGAGATTATGCGTTATAATTTCTGTTAATTGGATTTTTGCGTTTAATTTGAGTTGTATTACTTGGGATTTGAATTTATAAATATTTCCTTTGCATTCATTAAAATTATCTTATCTGGCATGTTGTTAGATTTTATGATTGAGATGTATTGCAATTGAGTGTCTCTGTGAGCATTCTTTGAGAGGAAAAAAAGTTTTATTAACTCAATTTAAATTGCACATCAAGTGGTTTTTAAAAGTAGCTTAATAATTTGATTACTATCTAGCGTTTATGGTAGTTAAGTGTTGAGTTTACTTGATCCAAACCGTGTTTGGAGTTGTTTTTCTTAACTTGGTGCATTATTTTACTCCCATATCTTCATTCAGCAAGGATAGCTACATTCCGTTTTCAAGAAGCATTCTCATTACTGATTTTCTAAAATTCAAATTTGCATTTTTCATTCTTTCTTTATTAAAAATACCCAAAAAAAATAGTTTAGATTTATTTCTTATTTTCATAATTAGTTTTATTAATTGAAAAATCCTTTTTCAACCCCCCTTTTATTCTTTGTCACTTAGTTAACTTAGGAATTAATAAAAGGCTCCTCAAGAGACACGACCCGAGTTGTGCTTTGTTGCATAATTTGGTTTTATTTTTGATTTAACCCAAGACGACTAAAAAGGTTCAAATCACTACTATAGTTAGGTTGTTAATAATATTACAAAAGTTGTTAACCGTTATACTGAAATTGTAAAAATTTTTCAAAAAAAAAATAGTTGCTAAAGTTGTAAAACTGTCATTTTTTTTGAAATTTTAAGAAAACATGTTGTTAAATGCTATATCAAAATTGTTAATAAAGTTACGAAACTTGTTAACTATATTATTGAAATTGTAAACATGCTACTTTTTGAATTTCTCGAAAAACCTGTTGTTAATAGTGTTATAAAACTTGTTAACTGTTATATTGACACCGTAAAAATTTTCAAAAAAATTGTTTTCAAGTGTTGAATTTCCTGAAAAAGCTGTTATTAACTGCTATATTGAAATTGTTAATAGCGTCACAAAAATTGTTAACTATTATACTGAAATTGTAAAAATTTTCAAAAAAATTATTTCCGACCACCGGAACTTGTTGAATTTCTCAGAAAACCTGTTGTTAACTGTTATACTGAAGTTGTTAATAGAGTTACAAAAGTTGTCAACTGTTATACTGAAGTTGTAAAAATTTTCAAAAAAATTGTTTTCCCCCGCCAGAACTCCAACGACCAATTGTTAAATTTCCTAAAAAACCTGTTTTTAACTGATATACTGAAATTGTTAATAGCGTTACAAAAGTTGTTAACGATTATATTGAAATTGTTAAAATTTTCAAAAAAAAAAATTGTTTTCTACCGCTAGAGCTTGTTGAATTTCTCAGAAATTGTTAACTGCTATACTGAAATTGTTAATAGCGTTACAAAAGTTGTTAACCGTTATACTGAAGTTGTAAAAATTTTCAAAAAAGTTGTTTCGGACCTTCAGAACTCGAATGACTAATTGTCAGCTGGTCACCAGAGCTCTGGTGACTGCCGCTGCCGGAGCTTCGGCGACCAACTGCCGGCCTGTGGGAGTTTTGATATTTTAAAAACAATAAATAAAATAAAAGGTAATTTAGTTTTTTCTTTTAATATGATAATCCCAA